ACTACAACACTTCAAAGACGCAACTGCTGCCAATGATACATTACAAACGCTCAAAATACAGTTTTGGTTGGTTGGACCGTTGATAGATCAAGTGTACCGTTGAATATAATTCAATATTGGCATTATCGAGATGTAATTACCGCCATTTTTACAAAGGCCAAAGACGTATGGTACCGATATTTCTAAACAAGCTACATGAAGCACAAATTGGCATAGTGAAAACGCAAATGCGAGCACGCGAAATACTTTTTTGGCCCAAAATGGACCAGGACATTGAAAATTTTATTGGACAATACAATGTGTGTAACATGTTTCGAAACTCAAACTGCAAGGAACCATTAATACCACACGTGATACCGTCGCGTCCGTGGGCCAAAGTTCTCAAGTTACGTTTTCAAAGCGTTCGTTCATAACACATCAAGTCCTTTATATCTGAAAGATCATACATAGTGCGCACCGGAAATAACAAGTTATATAGAATGAATCGTAGACAACTAGGCTACTACAGACTGGTGAGACTACGTTGTTGAGTGCCGTTCCCGATGATACCGAAATTATATTAGACAATTCACCGCAACTGCCTTCCAACCAAATCGCACCGAAAGCACTAGAGGAAACACTGAACTCTCCACTCCAAGAAAACCGACCACAACGAACCATGGGCGCAGATAGGCACAATTTGGCATCCGAGAACATCAAAGTGCCGAAATTTTGCGCCCATGGCGCACTATTCGAACAATTTATGGTCGAGTGGCAGGAAGACCATTCGTTCGTTTTGGGACCCATCTCCACTCACAGAAGCGTCGTTACGAAGGGGCACAAGTAGCGAATTTTATCGTTCGCATATTCGCACTGGATGACTGGAAAATCCAGTAACATGCAAGAAGGTGCCTTTCTTTCTATAATATGAGAGCTATAAATATACGGTGTCACCAGCTGAACTGAAACGTTCTCATGCAGCTATACTCTGCAATCGAATTCGCACCTACGGTCCTACCCCTTTTGAATAAATCCTGCGTAGCCTTCGTCACTGGATTGAAAAAGCGATCTGCGCCCTTGCAACGGACAGTATCTTGTATCTTGAAGACTAGCCTATGTAGGCTACATAAACTGTTCATACGTTATGTTATAGTCAAAAAGATTTTTATTCATATACTTGTTTGTTCTATTCGTGATCTTTTCAGGGATGGGGAAATGCTTTATAGCCTAAAGGGAGATATGTTATTTATAGTTTGTCTACATTGATATAATCGATCTATTTATTTTACAAAACTGACAAAACTGCTAATTTGTTTCGGTTGTAAACAAGTCGTTTGAAACTTCAAGGTCGAATAATGCTTCATTGTAGTTATCTCCCTTGATGGAATTTGATTTGATCAGGTAGGTATCACGCGCTGACTTGAAATTGGCAGCTTCAACCCGCTTTCCAAGGAAAGTGCGTAGACAGTCATCACATAAGATATAAGTACCATAAAAGTTTTCTCCTCCATTGCCACACCAATTTCAAAACGCATCTGATGTAAATGTTGATCGAAATGAACTAACTTATGAACATACAAACAAAATTAATCAACAACAAAATATACAAAGCTGTTGTTAACAAAACTATTAGGCCCACATTCCTAAAGCTGATTAAATTAAACTATGACTAGCCTTTATGAGCCTTAAAGAATATGGGCCTAAGTTTTTTTTCATTGATACTCTACTGTAAAGTGTAAGGAAATGAAATATGTTAGACAGATATGTAGGGCATTGGCTATTCAAAATTGTTGAAATATGTTTTGAAGTAGTTTATGTCTTGAAAAAAAATCTGTTACATATAATAATTGAGTTTATTAATAATTGGGGGCTTACAATATAATTCACACACTAGGAGTTTGACAATCTTGTCTTTTCTATCTTTCTTTCTTTCTACCTATCTATATTTCTTTACTTATAATGTCTGATTGTGAGATTGACTGAAATTTAACAACATAAATCTTAACTAATAGCTCTAAAATAATATACGGGTAACGGGTATCAAGCTTTAAGAGAGATTCCAGCATTAAATGACAAACCGGTTGTAGATATTTTTAAATTTGCCTGGCTCTGGGGGCAAAACCAACTTAAAATAATAACACGGTATTTCAACAATATAAAGCTAGACATAGTGCAAATGATAAAAAAAAAATACTTAATTAACGATTCTAACCATTTTATAGGCCCTAAATATTTCTATTTTTGGTCAGGATACTCTTTTTATTGGAAAACGTGCTCGAAAAACTTTGCTTTAGATCAGAACATCAAGACGAATTAGTCTCGAATAAAAACGTTAAGAGTCCCATGCCAAAACAAGAAAGACAATTCTAATTGATCAACTAAACAATACCGTAACTACAAACACAAGTGGATTTGACCGTAACAAAATCGATCCTAAAATTGATCTCTGGAAAATTCCATCTGATATCACACATTGTGGAAATGATGTTCCAAGAAATATACCACTAGGATCAGATTGACAAAGAGAACATGCCGAATAAGCTCATTGCTTTCCACACTCGTGACATTCGACGCCTGAACATCACCTGGCAGAACAAGGTCCCACCAAACAACTGTATCCTGGTACACACTGTACAGAGACTTTAACAGGTATATGAGACAAGAAATTCAGTATTATTATAACAGTCTGCTATATAATGGTAAAAAAACGTTTGCAGTCAGATAGGTGGAGATCCATTGCTTGGAGAATGTTTGCTCACATGGTCGTAGCTAGACCAAATAAAAAATGTGACCGACTCCAATAGAATGTGACTGACTTTTGCAACAATTTGAAAAAAAAAACGTGACTGATTTTTTAAACTTCAAATAAGTCAATGTGTTATTCAGTTATTAACTATATAATTTTATGTTCATATGTTATTCAGAACATATTTGTATCTATTCAGCTAACTGTTCAATAAAGTAACTGGCAAAGATATTCATTTAATATATGATGCGAAATGGCACTAATAATCTTATTCCATGCATGATAAAGGTTTGATTCAAAGTCAATAAAAAATAAATTGAGTCGTCCATCGTTAATAAGTGTTTATTTTACTGTTGTTTAAACATCATTTCATATATATCTTTGGTTTTGAAACTACTGAAACGCGCATCGCCTCGTCAATTAGGTAATTTGTCCATTCACTACGATAAAGAAGGTAAAAATTCTATTGAACGAAATTTTGCTGTCAAAAGTCTAATCGGGATGAGTGACAATATTTATTACATTAACAGATAACACAGCCTTGATAATCTTGAAATGGTGTAACGTGTAAACCTTTCTGATGTGAAGACAAATGCACTGTGATGAGAACTCACGTGAAAACAAGATCCAAGAAGCATCGACTAAAGGCGCCGATATGGTTTTTTCATACCAAATAATCTCTGCCTCTCAGTCAAGATATTTCGGCTAATCAATCTGCATCTACATTTAGTTGTATGTTGTGTCGGTTTTCAGTTCACAGTTCAAAAAATTTGCAGGCCACTGTAACAAATAGTTCTCTAAACCAAAGCCCAAGCTTTATTAAAGTGGATATCTCATTAGTATATAATTTCTCTAACCTCCTTTATTGATGTATATTATATTTTGCTTTTCAACTTGGTTATTTGCTTAACTCCAATTTTCTTGGTTTTATTGAATTTCCCTGTCGACTTGGAGCCTGTTGAAGCTTTGACATTTAAAGGTTTTGTTTTAGACACAATTTTCCTTGTTGTAGTGGTTTTTTTCATGGTTGAAATGATTGGTCTTTTGGGCACACTTGATGAAGTATTCTTAGGCCGACGTCGAGGTTTTGAATGAGTCGTTGGCTCTATTGTTACAGTAAGGGCCACACTTGAAACTGTTACACATGATGAATTAGTTTCTGGTACTACTGGATCTTCTACGTCGGGTAAACCATTGTTTATACCTTCACTAATAATAACTGTGGGACCCATTTGATCTAAGTTGTTCATATCAATTCTCTTATTTTTACGTTTCGGTTTTTTAGGTTCTTTAAACGTCCCTGTTCTTATTTTACGTATGACAGCTTTCGTTATCAAAAATGAAACTGCTGCTACATCTTGGAATATTATAGCAGCTATAACAATTAAGATGATCATGATTCCAAAAAATCCCACCGAAATGGCTGTGGGTCGGTCATCAGGTGCTGATGTCTTTTCTCGCCTGGTACTGGATAGAGACCCAGTGTTTACTGTCAAATTTGTAACAAGATGGTCAATTATTTCTTGTATAACAGCAGGGTCTGTATCTATTTCAAAACAATCACAATAACACTGTTCTTCACGAAATACAGCGGTTGTTGAGATGTAACTTGGAGTTGAACAAATAGGATCGGTAGTAATGGTACTCGGTGCAGAAACAGCCATAATGTCTGGCTACAGTTTAATAATTTAAATTTGGTATTTAAAAACACCACACTTAAAAGGCAAGTCCACACTTTAATTCATTGTTGGCTACCATTTTATCTATAGGTGTTAATACAATCAACCAGGGTATTACTATGATTCCATGCGTCCATTTTCTGTTACTGCAACATCTGTAATTCAAATACACATCATAGCTTGTTTTAATATATGAAGAAATGGTGATGAACGACCAAAATTCTAATCCTCTTACTTATTACTGTATAATCAAGATCATTATAAATAAAGAATATCTATATCAAGATACTATTGATAAGTGTGAACAACAAAATGATAAAAAGTAATAAAACGATATATTAAGACATCCCGATGTAAATAAAGTTTGTTTTCAGAGTACCATAATCTACCAAAAATTGAGCCCAGAACCACGATTTTGAGAGGTAGGTCCTACTTAAACTGCAGCTAATGATGAAACCTTGATACAATATTATTGTAATTCCACATTTTCCCATTCGAATATTCAAATTCAAAAAAGCTGGAAACAAGTCTAATAATAATTTGTCATTCATCCTTAAAATAATTTAATCCACACAATTAGACTTACCTGCTTAAAACTAGCTTGAGAGGTGCTCCACTATCAATTACAATAGAAAGTTTTATTTGTAGGTTTTCAGTAAGAAAAGTCCAAATCAACCGTTATTTAATCGCACTGATTGTCTTTCAACATCAGCCAGATAGTAAAGAACTAACTTTTCTAAGCACAATAGGAATACTTATGATATTGATTCTGAAAACTTATTATCATTTCCTTTTTTTATGGTTTCGATTTCTTGTAGCAATATTCGATATAAGAAACAATGTATTTTATATATTAAAAGCGGTAACGACTCTTAATCAAAGATTTTCTTTGAAATTATTTAAAATATCAATATATGTAGGAACATTACCTGGAGACATACGCACTTGAAAAGAAATGTTAAATTTGGATATTGTTATTTTAATCCAATATAAAGCTTGTTTTGTTTAATTTTTTTTTTGTTAAATTTTTTTTTTTCGGGTAAGACTTTAAGTTTTAAAAATACCTCTTTTGTGAACACTTTTCGATCAATTTATTCTTTTTTATCTCCATTTATTAGCGTAAAGTATTCAGTTTTGCTTGGTTCCTCTGTCATTCCCAAAGATATGCTTCATATTATGTGTCATTTAACTCATTATCATGTGTTTCCCAGCTGTATTGCATCACAGCATAAGTTGCATCTGCGAACTTCCTAAGACTATCCTTATCCTGTCCACAAGTACAGAGCAGAAACTGCAAATACGTTAGAATGCAATATGGTCGCACAACTTGAGGTATGTTTTTTTTAAGGTCGTAATTTTTAGGGACTTTTTCTGTAGATTTCTGCACGTTTGACTGCGACCTAGAATATTTCCAGTCACCATAAGATCTCAAATCGTCGCGACAAGACTACAAAGAGTTATTTAAAATGAATATACCTTGGTCTCAGAAGTTGATGGCTAAACTAAAAGTTAGAATTCATAGCAATGATTTTAAACTTTGATTTATAGAAATTTCTTTGGTAAATGAACAATAACACGGAAGAAAACAACAATATATCTTGGTTTGCAATAATCAATTTTGAATCGTACCCTGTTTGGGGCTCCTTGGGTAGAGCGGCTAGTCCTTTCAGAGACTGAAACCATAACAGGAACATCGTATGAAACAAGGGAGGGAAAGAAAACAAGGATAACAGTTTAGGATCGCAAGGATGGAGAATCTTTTCTATATAGTTATAGTACCTGGCCAAACCTCTAAGACTGATCATCGATACCTTTTAACGACTGAGTCAACTGCTCCGATATTCTACGATGTTCATGTGTTCCCACGTACCTCAAATACAGTCAAGGTGTGGAATTGTTCCCTTCTTCTTACAACTCCGAAAATTATGGTTAGCTTATATATATCTTTGCAAATAATATGGCACCCAATTATCGATAATTTTTTTACAACAGCCTACCATTAGAAATAAATTATCCATTTAAATAGCCTATACTCATTATATTTGAATTCCTGTCATGTGCCAAGTGAAGCATTATCATTTTTCCAGACGTCATATTGCATTTTAAAGCCTTCTAAAACAATGCTTTCCCATTCATACAAATCGGATGCTAGTATTTTTCGGGACTAACAGAATAAAGTGACTCTGTACGTTTTCACCGTGCGTCATAATATAACAAATTTATTTAATATCCTCCTAAGCAAAATACAATTGAAGTGCAAAGAACTGTTTTGGATAACAATAATTTTTTTTATTGAAAAAGTGTTTTATTTTAGAATATAGCGGTATTTACTTTATCGAACATCATGGTGTTTATTTTGGTGGCAGTAAAGAAAGTTTTATTATTCATATAAATTATAAATGTAAATTTCGTAAAAGTAAATGAACAACCTGAGTAGAGTAAATGTTTCACATTCTTTTAAAGGGACAGATGTGCCATTTTAGTGGGGTTGATTTGAGTCTTGAATATATGTAAATTATCTTCAGAAGTACTATAAGAAACGTACGAAAATCGCACAATTCCTTTAAAAATACTTCAAACTAGGAATTTTGTAGCCGGGTAAGCTCAAGGGGAAAAAGAAATCAAAACTATCAGAATATCAGTTCATAACTTTAATAAAAACCCTGTAATGATAATAAGATAAATTAGATATATAATACAAATATATACAACAATATAATATCTTAATAACGAAATATCACAGAAGTATCATTATCACGTTAAAATGTCTATGCACATAACTTTATGCACTGCAATACAATTTCATTACAATACGTGCTATATAGCATGCGATGGGAAAAACGATAGGACACAAAGAATAATGTTAAATAACAGTAAAACTAACCCAAAGGTGGGGTTGTAACCAAATCTGTTGGAAACTGTCTTAACTAATATAATGTTTTAAACCTGTGAATTAAATATAATTAAAGGTAATTATAATATAATATGTAGTAATTACAAAAGACTAAGCTTTACTTTAGATATAAAAAGTACCAAAGTATAGAAATTCAAGATGGCTGCCGTTACTAAACATTAAAATACCATAGTTACATTTATACACCTCTCATACAAAATATAGTTACCCAGAAAGACAATTACCCTACAAAATACCCCAAAACACACATACCTGTGAAGTTATTTGAAGGAAATAACTATGATAAAAAAGGTTGAAGTAGCCAGATCAATTATTTCACAAAGGATGAAATAAAGTTTCCTTCTACTTCAAAGATCATGATAAAAGTAAGGTTTCTGACTGGATAGGTGATGAAACTCACTGACAACTCACTAAGCTGGCTAGAAGGTGACAAGGTCCAGTGAGGTCAGTTCAGTTAAGAAACTAAGAGAGGGCAATAATAAGAACATTAGTATTAGGTCAGTGTAAAGTAATTATGTGCTTATTAAAGCAGTAGTGGTGCATTAAGATACAATAATTAAATAAAACAAGTTTCTTTAAAAATGCACCCAGCCACATACTCCCTCCCTACGGAAAATGTCGTCTCGACATGAAACAAAAAAAAAAATATGAAACAAAACAAATTAAAAACCACGAGCAAGCTTTATGGCCATAGACTCTGCTAAACCACAATTTAATTTCAAATTATGTAGTGCCTTGATGGTTTCAGCAGATAGTTCTCTCACGTCATTGTCTTCCGGTAGTCTGGATAGACAGTCGGCATCCATGTTGGTTTTTCCAGGTCTGTATCGTATACTAAAGTTGTACTGTTCAAGACGAGAAAGCCAACGGTGTCCGGTGGCATCTGATTTAGCACTAGTCAAAACATAAGTAAGGGAATTAGTATCCGTAAAAACGGTGAAGGTGTTACCATACAGATACTACAGGATTTGAAACTAGATTGTGGTTTAGCAGAATCTATGGCCATACAACTCGCTATTTCTAAACATGTCTTTTCTATATATAACAGAGTATCTTAAAATGACAAGTCGGATAATTCTGGAGCACATAAATTTGAAGGCCCAAATTTGGATGGTGAGCTGTGAACACTATTACTGATTGGCTTAGCTAAAAAAAAAATCCGTTTCTGAGACTAAGTATGATCACATAGACACCACTTTATGGAAACAACAATCACTGGTTAAAGTTTTATGCAACGTTTCGACGTGTTTTCCCAGTCGTCCTGAGGCACATGATGATAAGAAGTGATGGGCAAACTATATACATGTATACGTTAATGCTTATAATTAAGAACACACAAGAGATAAATTGGTTTATTCATACATAACATTAAATTTTAACAGGTACAATAAGAGGTACATAATTCTTAAAATAGCATACACATTGATTAAATAAAATAACTGAAATCCGAAAAAAACGAAGTTGGCATAACGCAGACGCACCATAATATTTAGTGGTAAAATGGAGAGTTCCGCAATATTATCTTACATCGGTCTACATGTAAACTTTATAGAATATTTCTTCGTAGTCCTCTATTTCATCCTTTAATGTAATTTTTTGGGTTTATCCTTGGGTGATTACATACACTCACACCAAGGTTCGTCAAAATCCATCAAGAATTGTGCCTTCTAGAATTTTTACGATTTAATCATTGAAGGCGTTTTTAAGAACAAGGGCATTTCATGTGGGCGTATAAAATATGTTTGAAATACAAAACATATTTAAGATCCGTTCTACAAAATTCCAGAAAGTTTTAAGTCACGTGACCTCCTGTGCTACACGAAACTATATTAGGACTTAAATAACATTAAAACATTCCTAACACAATCTAAGAAGATTTTGCAACAAAATGACAGCATTAACACAAAAATATTAAAGATAGCTTGCCCGAAACAGTTCATCAAATTCAAACATGAACAATGTCTCATCGCTGTACACACATGGGCAATAACTTGGAAACTGTTCATCCGATTATTACCAATTTCTAACTTGACCAAGATCTCATCATGCATATCTAGTTTCATTAAGATTGGATAAAAACTGTAGTCTCTATCGTGCAGGCTGCAAGCCGAATTTGACAAGTTTTTACTAGGTCAAGGGCAATAACATCGAAAGCCTTTATCAGATTGTTACAAATTACGAACTCGAGTGAGATCTCATCAATATGTACATGCATACCTAGTTTTATCTAGGTTGTAATCTCTATCGTGCCTACAATCGAAATTTGATACTTTTTATGAGTCAATGCCAATGGCAATAAATCTGAAACCAATCATCCGATTGTTACCAATTTAACTCTGAAACCATTCTTCCAGTCTTCCGACAGCGGCAACGGCAATATACGTCCACACTTCCATGTGGGCGTATAAAAATATATGAATAAGCAAGAAAACAAACCTAAGAAATGATGAGAGCACATTTTCCTCAAGTCGCCATGAAAATCGTGCACTATGACCTTCACCTGAACAGCAAATGCTTTTTGGCACTGTCTGGACTGGACAACAAAGTCTAATACAAAATTTAAGAAGGGATTAAAAGTACTGGTTAACTTGACCACTTGGGAAATTCTTTGCTGCTCTTAATAATAGACTCAGATAGCACAAATTTACATTACCAGAATCACGAGATCACATAGTTCCGGTAATAAAAAATGGCCATACATCACCGTGATATATTGTAGAGCGCTAGCGTAACTTTCACGAGGCCGTGATTTCTTTGTGTCTCACAAGCAAAATTTTAAAGAATCGTTTACGCCGTGAACGCGACAAAATCATCGCCAAATTTTATGGCAGTGTAAAGGCGGCTTATAATAATTCTAACCGAAATACCTAACACCACCAGGAAAGCAATGTCTTCACTCATCGATGCGGGAGCAATGTGGCAGATGTTTTGTACTAATTCATCACAACGTCATCTCGGGCATCCAAAGATCAAGATATCACTTTTATATACAGTAACAGGGGCAAAGATCTGCAGAATTGTCGCCATCTAATCGCAGTGACTCAACAACCATATAGGGACTGGTTGAATCAGGTCAATATTATGTCTTTATTAAGAAAATGAGGCCCTATCTCCTCTATGATTGCCTATAATGAAAATAAATGTACTAAGATCTCTACTGTAGAGGGCAGCACGAGTCTTAAGACACGTATTTTGAGATGCATACATTTTCCAGATATTTGTATAATTATGAGCATGATAATTCAGAGCTCATATAAATATAATTTGAGCGAAGTAGCATTTACTACACTATGGTTAATCGGCGATACCTACGTAGTTTGATGATAATACGACTTACCTTCAATAATACCCATATTTGATATGAGGGTACTATGATTTATCTAAGTACTTACTTTGTCTGATGATAGTATGAGTTACCGTTAATAGTTAATTGAATGATACTACTTTTGTGTACCCTCAACACCTGGAAGGTTTGATGATACTTTGATCTACTGTTAACACTTACTTGGTTTGATGATACTAATATTCACCTTCAATATTTACTTGGGTTTGGTGGTACCATGACTTTCATTCAATACTTGCTTGGTTTGATAATACTATGATTTACCTTAAAAATCTTCTTGGTTTGGTGATACTTTCTTTGATGTCATCAACGAAGAAAGTGTTGAGGATAAATCAAGGAAAAATCCACCCAAGTAAGTATTGAAGAAAAGTAGTAGTATCACCAAACTTGAACACTCATCAAAGTTATGAAACGTTCATGTCTGATAGCTTATGTCTATGTCTCATAATCAGACATCCAATTTGGTTTGAATATTCTACCACTAGAAGTTCTGTAAATTGGTTGGTACAATTTTAGATTTCCTACTGGATTTGGATTTGCTATTTGATCAACCTCTTCATGTGACTCAGGATCATCAATAGGGTTAGTACGGAGCCCCTAAGGCGCAATTGTAAACATATTTATTTATTATTTCGTTTAAACGAAATAATAAACGAAATAATAAATAAATATGTTTACAATTGCGCCTTAGGGGCTCCGTAGGTTAGAATCTTCTGCTGGTTCATCAAATATATTGTAATTAGTGTTGTTGCAATCATTGTCTGGTGTATTGGATGATTTTACAGTTTTACCGGAGTTAAGTTTAAGTGTTGCCTATTGCGTCTTAAATCATTTCCATCATTACTCCCAACAAGGTAAGATCAAAGGTATGATGCAAAGAAATCACTTTACCAGAGACCCCTTTTCGTGCATCAAATTTCCAAATTAATATGCTTTGTCCTGGTTTAAGTGGACTTGAGTCATTTGCTGTTCTATCAAAATATTCTTTCTGTTTCTTTGGTTGTTTCTTTCCTTCTGCCATTACTCCATTTTGGAATGTTGGTTTAAGTTGACATTTTGCAACAGGAATTCTTGTCCTTAATCTTCTTTCAAATAAAAGATGAGATGAAGATTTCTCATGTAAGAAACTGTACTATCCCTGGTATTCAATAAAGCTAAGTATGGATCTTGGTTTTCAGATTTGGCTTTTATGAGAAGTTTATTCACAATACCAACATATCTTTCTGCCAATCCACTGCTTCTGGATAATGTGTTGAGCATGTTACATGATTTATACCCCAATTTGCTGTAAAATGACGAAATTTATCATTAGAAAAATTAGCACAATTATCAGTAATGAGAGTTTTTGAATTGCATGTCTTGCAAATATTGACTTCATCTGAGTTAGTAGTTTCTGCAGTCATAAGGATGATCGGGCATCTAGTATTGAAAATATTTTGGACCCACTCAATTTAGCTCATCAACACTTGGCATTTGATATTGATCAGACACAATATATATGTTTAAATGTCTTGGATCTAAGCATTTTCTTAATCCGCCATTAGGTTTCTCTACAATAATTATTGAATTTATCCAAGGTGTAGGGGTGGTAACTCTTTTTATAATACCATCTTTTTTCCATATTCCAAGTCTATCGTGCAGGGCATATTTCGTGGTGGATTTTGGACAGGAATGGCATCATCAGTTTCATATATCAATTTCAACCTCCCAATTCATTCAAAACACAAATTTGAATAAATTTTCACCATTTTCAGAGTTATTTATAGTTTCAACTCTTCAAATTAAGTCGAATTCTTAGCAAGATTCTAAACCAATACTTTTGTCATCAATCACTATAAAGTTGAGAATTGCTTCGTCATTGTTTTTCAAATTTGATTTCACTTGACCTACAACTTCCAACTGTTGTTTGTTAGAGGTCACAAGTCTCTTTTTAGTTCCCTCAATTGGCTTCCTTTTGATCTGTCTGTATAGATGATTCGTATCACTATCATGAATTTCATGAACTTTCATTGTAAAACACATTTGAGAAAAATGTACTTGACGTCCACATTAAGGGCAACGTTTATCAGAATATTTATATCCACATCTTTGACATGAAATTTTAGAATTCTGGATAAATTATTTTTTCTTCTTAAATTTATATTTTCTGTCATCCGATTTCCTTTGGAACCTACTGTTTTTACTCTTACTCTTCTTTGTAAAATAAGTTTAAACCGTAACAGCATTTTGTTCTATTTTATTGACCATCCATTTCTTTCGACATTTGTTCGACAACATTTTCATAAGTTTTACACATTTCAGTTGCTTTGGCTAAAGTCAAATCAGATCCATATAAGAGTTTTTGCTTTAATCTTGGGCTATCCATACCTTCTACTATTTGATCCCCGATAAGTTCCTTGGTCATCGCGCCATAATTGCAATGTTTAGTGTGTTCTTGAACTTCAATCAGAAATTTGTCAAACTCTCTAACTGCCTGCTTCAAACTACGAAACAAATGATCTTCGTTTTTACCTTCCGTCACAATGTCGAAAGTTTCCTTGAATTTTCCTGTCTTCATCCCCAATAACGTGAAGACGAATGGCTCTTTGAACCGTGCAGGACTTTATCTCCGCTCCTGAAGCTGTCAAGTACAAAGATAGGGCAATTTTAAATGCTTTCCCACTGTCTTGTTTGTTACGAACCGTAACATCAAACGGCAGATTCTGCCACCATGTTAACTATTTATTTATTCAGACAACATGTATACGTGTCGTGCCAAAGGGAGCTTATGATTCACTCAATTCACAATTCATTTGCCATCTCTTCCCATGTTAAAACACGAAATTCAACCTTCTACCACTTTTTCCAGAAATCTCGTTCAAAGCTTTCCAATATGTCGAATAAAAGCCTGACCAATCCTTAATGTCTCCTAAAAGGTTCAATATATGATGACCATGAACATTTTGAGCTAGTCAAATTGAAAGTAGACTACTACCGGTTATACTCATCCGCTATAGTTTGGCAGTTCACAAAACGACTTTTTTAGACTTATCCTTCCGCCTTTAAGTCTCTCACTGTCACCAAATCTTAAAGATAATGCAAATTCAGACATCAAATTCCAAATCTAGACTCAAAAAAAGGCATGCAAAATCCAAAGGGAGAGAGAAAGATTTCTAAAAATAGCCTGGACTACAGAGAAAAAAGATTTCTAAAAATAGTCTGGACTACATTCATACAATCATGTGCATAAAATGTTTTAGTGGAGTGAGGTCACAGGACTCACTCCACTAATTCATTTGCCATCTCTTCCCATGTTAAAACACGAAATTCAACCTTCTATAACTTTTTCCAGAAATCTCGTTGAAAGCTTTCCAATATGTCGAATGAAAGCCTGACCAATTCTCAATGTCTCCTAAAAAATTCATTATATGATGACCATGAAAATTTTGAGCTACTAAAATTGAAAGTAGACTACTACCGGTTATACTCATCCGCTAGAGTTTGGCACTTCACAAAACGACTATTTTTAGAATTAGCCTTCCGCCTTTAAGTCTCTCATCATCTCACCAAATCTGAAAGATAATGCAATTTCAGACATCAAATTCCAAATCTAGACCAAATTTTACCCAAAAATAGGCAGGCAAAAACCCCAAAAGGGAGAGAGAAAGAAGATTTCTAAAAATAGCCTGGACTACATTCCTATACAATCATTTGCATAAAATGTTTTAGTGGAGTGAGTCCATATAAATCTCAGAGGCGGATTAACCGATGGAAAATTCGGCCCAAATTTTGTTACAGTAAAAATTATCAAAAAGTTAATAAATTTCAACAGGCCCATCCAAAATTCGACCCAGCCGATGAGAAATTTCTTCACATAAACCATACTAAACATACTTAACTTCCTTATTTACATTATTATAAAGGTCTCGCAACCTTAACACCTGCAGGGATGAACAAAAAGTTCTCGTATTTAAATTTACTCATACTCTTGCATCCATTTCTTTGCCATTCTCTAATGTTTCTGTGTCTTATATAATTTTTTAGTTTATTATTTCCCTTGAAAACATATCTATTTGTTCATCTAACATAGCTGAATGTGTCATTTCTTGTCAGCTGTTCTTCGTAGAGGTAGAACCTTTCTCGCCTATTTTGTTTTGTTTCGCTTGATAAAGGGATAAGTCTCGAAACGTAGCTACCTTTACTCTTATTGTATCGACTTTTTATACGTCCACATGGAAATGTGGACGTATATTGTCGTCGCCCCTGTCCGTCGGTCCGTTGGCCCTTCGGGTCGTCAACATTTCTTGTGAACACAATAGAGAATACAGTTTTCAACTGATTTTAATGAAATTTAGTGTGATCATTTATATTGATGAGATTTGGCCAAATTCAAATTGATGATCTTTCGATGAACGGTTTTTGAGTTATTGCCCTTGACTTAGGAAAAACGCGTCAAAATTTGTTTGTGAACACAATAGAGACTACAGTTTTCAACTGATTTTAATGAAATTTTGTTTTATCATTTATATTTATGAGATTTTGGTCAAGTTCGAATTTGATGATATTTCGATGAACGGCCTTTGAGTCATTTCCCTTGACTCAGGGAAAACGCGTCAAAATTTGAACGCATTAGAGACTACAGTTTTTAATTGATTTTAATGAAACATGGTATGATCTTGCATATTGATGAGATAATTTGATGTATTTGGGTTATTGATTTTGATTTTTAAAAACTTGGTGGAATTTCTCAGCATAGATAACTGGCAGTAGATATATATATATCATTGAATTTGAACTATTAAAATTTCTTTGACATGAGACACATCTACGGAAGCGTATTAGGGCCATTCATTTTTTTTTTTTGAATTTTCAAGTTAATATGTTGAATTTTCAAGTTAGTAACTTGAAAATTCGAGATACTAACTTGAAAATTCAAGATACAAACTTGAAAATTCAACATACTAACTTGAAAATTCAAGTTACTAACTTGAAAATTCAGTACTGACTTGAAAATTCAAGTTACTAAATTCAAGATACTAACTTAAAAATTCAAGATACTAACTTGAAAATTCAAGATACTAACTTGAAAATTCAAGATACTAACTTGAAAATTCAACATGCTAGCTTGAAAATTCAACATACTAACTTGAAAATTCAAGTTACTAACTTGAAAATTCAACATACTAAATTCAACATGCTAACTTGAAAATTCAACATACTAAATTCAAGATACTAACTTGAAAATTCAAGATACTAACTTGAAAATTCAAGTTACCAACTTGAAAATTCAAGTTACTAACTTGAAAATTCAAATTACTAACTTAAATATTCAACATACTAACTTGAAAATTAAAAAAAAAAAAATTTGAATGGCCCTAATACGCTTCCGTACACATCATACTGTAGTCACTAAAGATTTTTTCATCATTTCTGACAGCTGCCAGCGGGCGTATATTACCTTACCTGGCAAGCTATCTTCACCTACTACCCTACATGAGAATCGACTAAATTGTTAGCGCCTAATGGTGATAATTGCCGATATCGTGCATACGATTGATGCTGATGAGCTGATTGATCTGTTCCTGAAAAAAAAAGAATGCAAACTTTCTGTCATTAAATTGTAATCACACCATGCCCCCTCCCTAAAATGATACCTTGGGCCCTCTAACGTTCGTTTGCCTTGGCCCAACAAGTCCACAATCCGCCACTGATAGAGGACTCACTCCACTAAAATATTTTATGCAAATGATTGTATGTAGTCCAGGCTATTTTTAGAAATCTTCTTTCTCTCTCCCTTTTGGGGTTTTTGCATGCCTATTTTTGGGTAAAATTTGGTCCAGATTTGGAATTTTATGTCTGAAATTGCATTATCTTTCAGATTTGGTGAGATAATGAGAGACCTAAAGGCGGAAGGCTAATTCTAAAAATAGTCGTTTTGTGAAGTGCCAAACTGTAGCGGATGAGTATAACCGGTAGAAGTCTACTTTCAATTTTAGTAGCTCAAAATTTTCATGGTCATCATATAATGAATTTTTTAGGAGACATTGAGAATTGGTCAGGCTTTCATTCGGCATATTGGAAAGCTTTCAACGAGATTTCTGGAAAAAGTTGTAGGAGGTTGAATTTCGTGTTTTAACATGGGAAGAGATGGAAAATGAATTAGTGGAGTGAGTCCATAAAACAAAGTAAATAAAACATAGTTGTCTCCTTTAGACCATTACAGTTCTGACTACAATAATGAAAATACTACTAACCTAGTTTGGTGATACTATGGTTTACTTTCAATACTTACTTGGTTTCATGATACTATGATTTACTTTCAATACTAACTTAGTTTGATTATACTATGATTTACTTTCAATATTTACTTTCAATACTAACTTAGTTTGATGATACTATGATTTACTTTCAATACTAACTTGGTTTTATGATACTATGATTTACTTTCAATACTAACTTAGTTTGGTGATACTATGATTTACTTTCAATACTTACTTAGTTTGATGATACTATGCTTTACTTTCAATACTTACTTGGTTTGATGGTACTATGATTTACTTTCAATACTTACTTGGTTTGATGATATTATGATTTACTTTCAATACTTACTTTGTCTCAAACATCCCCCTTCTATTAGAGTGAGTCGAATGTGGTTTGGCACGTGGATGACCACAAACATATGACGATGATCAAATCTCTGACTCTGCCTCTCACCTATCACAACGATTCCTTCGTCTCGAAATTAAATTATATAAACCTCCCTTTTCTCTATCCTGTAGGTTTTCAACCACAGGGTCATGTCCCAAGGTGGGGACATTTACACTTTTCTTGATGAGTCAAATCCAGTCACAGGCAGATGATAATACACCATCCCATAACATTGTTTAGGAGTACTCAGAAAATTATTACTACCATACTACATGAAAACATGCCTGGTATCCAATCATGGATAGGCTTTCGATATTTGGGGACATCATTTTCATGCTTATTCGATTTGGGGACACATACAAAACAGGCTGAAAACCACTGCTCTAACCTAATACACTGTACTCAATTGTATATACTTTAAGTGTGTGGATTTTATTTGTTCAAGTTAAAATTCAATTTATATCTATATACGTATAATTATGTTATATGAAGACGGATTTACATAAGCTTGTTCTTTTTTCTGAATCTATGTTAATGTATATGATGTTTCATGTAGAAACCCTACCAAACCAGATTAGACTTCATTATAACATCTTGGATCAGAAAATGTACAAAGTTTTTTCTTTGTTCTTTTTGTTAACAACGAAATGTCAAATCAGTACTCTAGACTTGATTCCTTTTCAAAGTGTTGAGGATAAAAAACACAACGTAACAGAACAATAAAATTGCTACTGGCATATAAAAAAAGCTTACTGCTGTCTGCATTAAATATTGAAAACCTTAAAGAAATGATGTTTATCAACTTTATATCGGTAGCTAAACAATTAACGCGCTATGCACAGTTTAGAAAGATTGCAGAGTATCCCAAAAGGCCATATACCTGCCTGAAGGCTCACTATTTCTTTTCAACCGTTATGGAATTGTTCTGGTTCGTGAGCAGGCATCTCAAGTACTGTACACACTGACAACATTTTCGGTAACATAATCAGCAACACGATGAGAAGGTGCCATGTTAGTGATAAAGTTATTAATAGAGTATAGTTCATACACAATCGGTGACATGTTGTCCAAATGCTGCTAGAAAGGTCAATTTTGTTACCGAGATGCAAATGATGTTGCCACATTAATTTTATTCTATCAGAAGGGAGCTATAAATCACATGATTTATATGAAGTCAAGTGATGTCAAGTCACAAGCCAGAAACATAACGCCCATATTGCTGATATTGGTATTATATTTATCAATACTTACAGAGGCCTGAAAACGTATAGATTACAGAATATGTTCTTGTAATTGTAGACAAATCGGGTATATACATACATCTGTACTGTGAATATGATTGAAACCGGACTTACCATTTGCACCAAGTGCTATACCAAATCTATATTACTACAAAAGAGTCTAAAAGCTTGGTCAACAAGACTGATTTCATTTTTGACAGTTTCGTCCCTGTCGTATTCAGTGCTGATTTGTTCTTGTTTGAAACTCTTTGGTTCACTATTGTGAACATTCAGCAAGAGGTATAGATAAAAGATCCCCCCCCCCCCCCCATCAAAAAAAAAAAAAATAATAACGTAGATCCCAGGCGATCTTTTCATAGGGCAATAATAGTCTACCAACATCATCTACATCGTCTATTCAGTATTCATGATAATTATCTACATGTAAGATCAATAAAAGATGTTAAATATTTATAAAGATTACAATGTTGTTTATTATTTGTTACCTTTAGTACCTTTTATTTATTACGGTTTGATTACAAACATTCTCCTTCTATTCGACCGAGTCTAGAATGCCTGCGAAAGAGAAGAACGACATCGTTCGATTAGTAAGCTTATCCACAGTGGCTTATCTATCGATGACAATAAAATAAAGGGGAAATTAATAGGAGTAAGAGTGTCGTGTTTGACCGATTGAATCAAATCTGGTAGGCCTAATCACTTGCTAAATACAGGGAAACATATGAACAAACTTTCAGTTTGACAGTCTGTACTGCGAATTGGCAAGATTTTCATTATTGCTACGTCTGTGAGCAATGGAGATTGAAATTTCCAGTTAAAATTAATATGGACATTATTCGTGATGGCACCAAATATACAACATTTATCAAATTTGCTTGTATTGCTTGTGATTATCTGTAAAGTTTCAGGTAAGAAATCACGTAACTTCTAAATTTTTTATATGTATCGGGGACACTTAAAGCATCAATTTACACCAGTCCGATTTTCACTCAGAATTGCAGGAACCGTAGACTTCTGATTGAAAATTTGAATGATTTTAGACGTGTGAAATAATCACAGTTTCACATTAAATGTCTATAGTTAATATTTCCAAGGTGTTATGCACTATAACATTTTCCTTTTAATTTATTTCAGCCAAAATATTGAACGGTACAAATCTGGCACTTGGTAAAACAGCAATTCAAAGCAGTAATCATCAGGAGTATAAAGCTGAAAAGGCCGTTGATGGAAAAACTTCTGGGTACTTTCAGGAAAACTCTTGTTCTCATACATACCAATATTCAAGGAATGTATCTGAATGGTGGGAGGTAGATTTAGGTTCCGTGTATGATATTACTGATATTATAATATACAACAGAATTGACTGCTGTGGTAAGTTATTCTATGATATAATTTATATAATAATATAGAATTGGATAATCATAACTATAACGTAATAACATATAACTGAATTGACCTCTTTGGTAAGTTATTGTATGATAACTACAACTTAAAGTATAATTCATAACAGAATTGAATTTTGTGGTCAGTTATTGTATGAAAATTGGTATTATAATACATGACCCAGAAAAAAAACCCAATCTAATTAAAATTAGATTACAATTTTATTTTGTTATTTTTGTCTCATTGTCCGACAAAACAAAACTATAATAACAAAACGAAATTGTAATCTAATTTTTGTTATAGATTGAGAAAAACCGTAACATTTTCAGGATTTTTCAAAGCTAAGACCATATGGGCCTATGTTTACCACAACTCACAAGTTGGTGAGAGGTTAAACAGAAAGAACAGCAAGCACGAAATAACTTACTTTGGTTAGGTCACAAATTCGAGCGGCTTCAGTCGAAATCCTCCTGAAGTGAAGGCTATAGGTGAACTCCCATCTCTCACGGATATTACCGAATAAACTATTTCGGCGCTCAAACCAGTAGCGCACTTCATCATACTTCGAAACATCTGCTGCTATATATTCCAGCCTCTGTAAGATATTTTGATAGTTATCGCCTGAAGTAGAGTCAGAAAAACTAGGTTCTGTTTTGTTTGAGAGGGGATTTAGTTTACCATGGATTACGTAATTGTTTAATATCTTGTTCCGTTTTATAGGCAGTCACGAGCCTCTTGGAATACTTCTCTTGCAGACTTTTGTAATGACAATGACTTATGCTTTTGTTGCCGATTATAAGTTACTACGAATAGGATTCTTTGGTTATCATGTTGAATATTTAAACCATTTGGGTATACTCACAGGGACCAGTATCGTGTTTTGCACTGATATAATATGTGCAAGGGAAACGGATGCTGGGGAATAAATGTAAACAATTTGAAAACTTTACACCGTGCATCTGTACAATAAATGGCTGAAATTGTGTGTGACTAGGTGCGGAAAGCTAAACTAATGGGTCGCCGACCGACTTGGATCCCATGCGAAATGGGACATTAGCGATCGCTTACGGCGAATTTTCCATAAGTCCACACTTATCGGCGTTTTTATCTGTTATTATTATTTTCCAGGCTTCAGTTTGGCATTTGGCTGATTTAGCTAGTAGCTTGATATTCAAGATGCGAACTCGTTTTAACGACCCTAATCACAGAGGCATTTTTAGCTGTAGAATTGTAGGTGGCAACGATAGGTATAACTTGATTATCATGCTGTATATTTAGGCCGTTCGGTACCCAATGCAATTGGTCTATCCAGAAACTCTCCTTTTTCAATCGCTTGGTTTTGGTTTGATCGTTGTAAATAGATACAGAAACCTTTCTATGGGCATAACAAGAAGATCTTCAAGGAATGACTGGTTGAAATAGATTGATTCACGATTGGTCTGTCTTTTTTATGAAGAATGTCAAAGCTATGGTTGCTTAGACGAGTACGCAATGTATTCGCAGGTGCGACACCTAGAACCTCCACATGGTATACAGAACCGAAATGGTCGTTTTTTTATTTTGCGCAAAAAACGTTTTGAATAACCCCGTTCCCTAAGTTTACTAAATACAAGTTCGCAAGCCGAATCAAAATCTGTTTTTCTAGCGCAAATTCTCAGACTTTCCGATTTAATTACGCCAGAAAAGGTGTGCTTCGGATTGTGTGGGTCAGTTTCTTTGATATATACTTAAATATCGAGTTTTTGTTTGAGTGAAACTTGGTCCTTTGAATACAGTTGTATCCCAAGATATTCATGGTATTTCAGAGATATTTGCTTTAAGTTTTATAGAAGGGTGGTGATAGTTTAAAATTTCGAAATACTCCCAAAAGTTTGCTAATGATTCTGTTCAAATAATAAAAATATCGTCTAAAAACTTTCCAAAGAAGAAAGGTTGAAAAGGGGGTTCCCGGTTCGCGCGCAAGGATGACTTTTTCACGGATACCGTAACTGTAAATTAAATCAGCACCTTCGATTACTTGATGTTTCGCTCACATATTACTCACATCACTAATCGTCATATTAATTGATGTTCCAGCTAAAATTTCAACGTCAGACTAGAATTTAACGATCAAACCTTGATTATAATGTCCTTCTTGGCGGTTTTATTGATCGAAATATATGCGCCATGAGTTAAGGGTTGTTGCTGTTGTTAGTAAAAAGGTGTTTTCAGCGATTCTTTCAGAGTTAATAATTTTTGTTTCAAAATGGCAGACAAAGGAGCAAAATATCCTCGAATTAAGGTATATACATAAACAGTACATAAAGTATATATAATAAAGTACATTGTTACCAGTGGCGTAACTGAACTTTTTCATTTGGGGTTGGGGGGAGAGGTGGCAAGAAGGAACAGTGACGTGAAATGGGGAGTGGGGAGTTTTACGTTAACTAAGTTCAACACAATCACAATCTTAATATTTTCAGGAATATCCCTACCAGGAACAAAAGCTGGAAGATAAGGATGAATTTATTAATTTCATTCAAAAAGGTTTCACTGGTTTGGCCAAACATTTTATTAAACTTTTGGAACTCCAAGAAGTTTTATCTTTGGATCTTTCGAACAAGTAAAATAATAGATTAGGTCCTACGTACATCTGTCTTGTAGAAAAACAATTCATTATCAAATCCAGAGTTTAAATAATTTAAAAGATATTTACATATTTTAGGCCAAAATGGGTTTGTAAAACTAAATTGTGAGACTATTTCCAGAAGATTTAGTATCTTTTAAAGAATTAATAGCAAGCCCACATTTCCAACACTCCCTCAATATCTGTTTCATAAAGTTCATTGAAATTTCTTTCAAGCTTCCTGATAAATTATATATTCAACTGGGTTTATTCTGTTAGATTTGGTTGTTTTCAAATAAATATATTACTCGCATCAGTTCTAGATTATTCGTTCTGTCATCATACTAATACGTCTGCAAATCAAAAGATTTATTTAAAAGTTCACGTAAATATCGTCTTTACAAAGTTAAGAATTAAAAGATAGCTTGCGTTTTAAGGTAACATACGCCCACTGGTAGCTGTCAGAAATAATAAAACAGTCTTTAGTGACTAAAGTACGAATTTTCTCATATTGAAGATATTATTAATGCTGAATAATTCCACAAAATTTTTTAATATCAATATCAATAACCCAAATACAAATATAAACCATCTTCATAATGACATTGACACACAAAATAAAAATCAAAAGAATCTGTAAAAAATTGTCGCCTGTGGATTGAGCACAGGGTTGCACAATATAGCTAATAGAGTGAAACGTCAAGTCAGACACGATATTTCGCTGAAATATTATCCGATCATCGCGAAAATCGATAGGGATCATCTTCATAACAACATTGACATACAAAATAAAAATCAAAAGAATCTGTAAACAATTGTAGCCTGTAGAGTGAGCACGAGTTGCACAATATAGCTAATAGAGTAAAACGTCAGGTCAGACACGATATTTCGTTGAAAAATTATCCGATCATCATGAAAATCGATAGATCATCATGAAAATCAATAGAGATCATCTTCATAACGACATAGACATACAAAATAAAAATCAAAAGGATCTGTAAAAAATTGTAGCCTGTAGAGTGAGCACGAGTTGCACAATATAGCTAATAGAGAAAAACGTCAAGTCAGACACGATATTTCGGTGAAAAATTATCCGATCATCACGAAAATCAATAGGGATCATCTTCATAATGACATTGACACACAAAATAAAAATCAAAAGAATCTGTAAAAAATTGTAGCCTGTAGAGTGAGCACGAGTAGCAAAATATAGCTAATAGAGAAAAACGTCAAGTCAGACAAGATATTTCGGTGAAAAATTATCCGATCATCACAAAAATCAATAGGGATCATCTTCATAACAACATTGACATACAAAATAAAAATCAAAAGAATCCATAAAGAACTGTAGCCTGTAGAGTGAGCACGAGCCAAATGTGAACGGACGGACGGACCGACGGACCGACGGGGTGAATACAATATAGGCCCATCTTACGTGTGGGCGTATAAAAATCCATGTCATTTTCATATTGAATAAGGGTAAACTTTATCAGATCACCAATACATTCATTTTTGAAAAACAACTCACTAATTTTGTCAAACCACAAAATATTTCAAGTTAAATAACGATTCACTAACTTTATCAAAACATTACAAGTTAAAAAACAATTCAGATTGAAATGATTTGATGAGAATATAAAACCACAAAACATTTCATTTCGAGTACCGATTCACTGACTTCATTAAAGCACAAATATTTTATTGAATATAAATTCACTAGTTTTATCAAACCAGGAACTATGATAGATTGAATAACGATTCATAACTTTATCAAACCACAAACATTTTACATCGAATAACGTTTAACTAAATTTATCAAACCACATAAAATTTAAAGATTAAAAAAGATTTACTAACTATATCAAACTCTAAAGCATTTCAGATTTATTATTGGTTCACTGATTTTTTATTAATCCATGCGCTTACAAAATCAAACCACAAAACATTTCAGATAGAAACACTTTTCGCCAACCATATCAACCCTAAAATATTTACGATTCATTTACTTTATAAATCCATAAAGCATTTTATATTGAATAATGATGCACTATGTTTTCAAAACAGAAATGACTGAATAAATGGTTCACTTACTATATCAAACTACAAAACATTTTAGATTGAAAAACGATTCGATAACAATATCATACCACAAAACATTTCAGATAGAAACACTTTCACTAAAAACTATCTGAAATGTGCATTATTGAAGATAGTTGATTTTAATATTTAAATGGACTCTCTTTTTACAAAAACAAAATTTTCAATAATTTGATGTTAAGCTTAAATGATATATTCCGATCCACCAGTGATATTACTACTATGGACACGTTTCTATACATTGGCAGAATGTTATTCGAACTGTGGATGCAAAAGACGTAAAATAGCTCGGAAGCTGACAGATCTGTGTCAAACAGGTCTAGTTTTTTGTGTTTTTATTTTCATGTAAATCTCTAGCATTGGAGGGAATAAAGACATATATGTGAATAAATGAAAATAAGGGAAAGTTTCTTTCAGCAATCAAAAGGGAGCTATCCTCCATAATATAATATAATATAATATAATATAATATAATATAATATAATATAATATAATATAATATAATATAATATAATATAATATAATATAACTTTTCTGCACCACTCGTATGGGATATGTGGATGGTCAACACCATGCAGTGTACTTTGATTTTGTAATCTGGAATGTCACCTTTGCGAGAATTATTCAGTTATCTTAAACTACAGAAAGGAAGTTATCATTGTTTTAAGATTCATAGTAAAAAAGATTGGTATACAGTATATTGAATGAATTGAACATTTACTTTGTAGGTCAAAGATTAAGAGATTTTGTTATAGAAGGTGGTCAAGATTGTGTGGAGTCTAGTCTTACCTGTTATACGCCATGTTACACACAACTAGAACCAATTATTATAACAGAGAGAATTTCTTGTTCCTTTTGTCGAGCCAGATATGTGAGAATTCAATTGAACCTTATTGATGTCTTAACTATCTGTGAGGTTGAGGTTTATGGAAAACAGGCCGTTTCTCCATCAGGTAAATATGTGTGGAGATAAAGCTCAATACGTAGGGCCCAACACTTTTCTCAATTTTAGTTCTACGCCATTTTTTTGAAAACTTGAGGAAGGGAGTGAAAAGTTTCCATAATACTATTAGCCCACAATTGACTTCAAAATACAGGTAATACAGGCAATACTGTCCGCTGTGGAGGTCATTTTGTAGAGGTTCATCTGGTAATCTATATCTAGCTAATGATGGTTTTCAATGATTTTTCTTTTTAATTGATCATCGTTATATTTAGCTTTTATATGCATCTCTTATATTTCAAGGACCCCAGAAGTGCCAGAAATACTCAACTGAATCCTCTGTAATTTTGGAACCATCAACATCCGCTTTCAGCAGTTATCCTGAATTCAGCTTTATGGAATCAACATGGGTCCTTTCAGAAGCCTCATCATCCGAAATGTCAACGTCAATCGATATGACCTCAATCGCTTATACAACCACCATGTCGCCTACAGAAATAACGACTAATATTACTGTTAAAACCATTTCTAATGAATTCTGTTCATGTCACTGCCACAAGAACAAAGATGACCCAGATGAAATTGAAGAGAAAATAACAGTAATCAAGAAAGATCTGACCGTAAGCGTAGTTAAACTGTCCAGTTCTAGACGGAAGAAGACCAGTGCTACTGATGAGAGAACATCAGCTACTGCTGTAGGTTATGTTGGTGTTGTTATTCTATCGGTTGTAATGGGACTATTGGCGATACAAGATATTCATAGTGTGTTAATATTTATTTCCACACACATTAAAATAGCATTCAGACGTGGAACTTCAATAAGACCACCTTTCACCTATAGCTTAATGTTTAAAGCTTGATACAAGGTATAGCAGAATTAAGGAAAACAAACTTTATGGACATACCTTCCTGTTTCACAATTCTATTCAACACTCGAACTGTCACATCTCCATATCGATGTCGTAAAATATCTTTCCAAGGCTTGTGGTGCTGTCGTTGATGGTGCCTTTCCATATGCATTAAGAACATTCTGTACCGTTCTACCTTTCTTAAAACTAATATCTACTTGAAGTTCTACCATGACCTAAGTTTTTTTTTTAATTTTTCCCATTATTTTTTATTAGAATTGGCATAGCAGCCCCAAAATAGTATTGTCTTAATATGTCTTTGCATCGATGAAAATATAAGCATGAGCACACTTTATTAGTTTTTACAGAGAACAATTTTCAGCCAATATTTCAATTGCAAACTTACAAAAGATAATATTTTTATCAACGCAAGGACATTCTAAGTTAAGACTAACAGTACTTTTTAGAGGCTGATATTCCAATTCCCTTGAAAAATGTCTCGTCATATAATAAATATAATGGATAGAAAGATGAACGGAATTGAATAAATGCAGCTTGAAATTATTACTTTAAAAATGAAACCAGAAATCTAAGTCGGAAAAATATTAGAATCAATTGAAAATGGCAAACCGAAAACTTATAATTACTTATAAAATGGGGGAAACTAGTGTTGACTTGGCTAAATCGGTACAGAGATACGAGACTTGCACGCAACTGGTAGTTCCTTGGACTGAATGCTCGAAGAGCTTGTGTTTGCAAAATTCTCAAAGAAAAGAAAGTTAGTAGAGCCGTCGTGAGTGACTGAGCTCGAAGAGTTAGTGTTAGCGACTGAAACTGCAAAAACATACATAATAATGAAAAACTCCAGACTACTTTGGGGTAAGTTATTCAGAATGAAAATAATGAATAAGAAATTGCAATAAGAATAGCATTTGTGTAGTCCCCAAAGTAAGATTAAAATATAAGTAAATCCTAAAACCTTCAGCCTACCAGATATAAAACTGAAGTGATCAGCCTGCAATATGTTTAACCATATCTAAATCAGGTCTGATGAATGTTATGTAACAATTGGAGGACCACCGTCCTAAAAACTTAATTATATGATCTGGCATGCAAGACTTGTAGATGTAGTAGCTCCAATCCTGAAAGAATGACCATTGTAGAAATTCGAGTCATAACCTAAATTGTTTAAAATAGTATGTAAATGCTTAATACAAAAGAATCTAGTAACCGAATGTCCATCGCAAGATAAAATTAAAGGGTCTAAATTCCAAAATAATGTATTACGTAACAAAATGTAAGCATACAAGGCCATTACAGGACATAAGAAAGAATTACTTGGAAACAAACTAATTAAAATACCTTTGTGAAAAGGGTCAGACTTTGACACTTTCAGTTTTAATTGAATTAAATCAGGCAACATGTAAACATCATGAATAGACAAATCTTATTAGGATTATAATTACTGATTGAAGTCAGTTCACCACACCTTAAAAACCCATAAAAGGCAACAGTGAACATAGCTTCTAACAACAAATCAGTATAGGAATCTAAGTAACCTGCTCTGAGAGCTGCAACAATATGTACAAGGATGTCATAAGTTATGGGTAAACGAGGTTTGACAACATTGTTCTGCATTTTCTTGACAGCCTGAAGAAAAGTGAAAATACGAGGATTTCTGTCAGGAGTCTCGAAATGACTTCCAGTTCCTGCTTCTAAAAAGAAGAAACGTATCCCATTTAAATAATGGTTTCACACTTGATATCTGTACTAGTGCAGTAGCTATAAAATAAATTAAAAAGTCTTGAGAGACGGGAGGCATTAACGAAATATATTGAACATTATACAAAGTCAGAAATCGTTTGTACAGTCTAAATCCTGTAGTATAAACTCTATGAGAGCAATAGCAAACTTCCATAAACTGTTAACTTTATCATTTAGAAATCCCAAATGATTTGATCTATAGTGGGACACGTTTCTGGTGTAAGACATGTATTGGGTACAGCTTGGTGAAATTTCTCTAACTGAAAACGAGATAAATGGTCTGCTGTAGTATTATTTAAACCAGGAATATATTCACAGTAAACAGCAAAATTATTCTGTGCGCAGCATACAGTAAGAGTGCGCATTAATGCTGAAAGACAAACTTCACGTGATCGTCCCTTTTTAATGATATTCACAACTGCTTGATAGTCAGACCTAAATAAAACTCTAAAACTGGACCAGTGCTTTCCCCAAATCACGCATGTAGCCACAACTGGATACAATTCTCTGAAAGCAATTGAAACCAAAAGCCACGAAAATAACAACCAAAGCCAATACCAGATGCATCTGTAAACAATTCTAAATCAGCAGACGAAGTTAAAATTTTCTCATAGAATAACGAAACTCCATTCCAGTCCTTTAAAAAAGAATACCACATACGTAAATCTTCTCTATATCCCGCATTTAACCTGACAAAATGACGGAGTTCTGTCACAGTAGTACTTAATGAAATCAGATGTGAAGTAAAAGCACGGCCTGAAATAATAACTCTTGTTGCAAAATTGAAATGACCTAGCTGCAGTAGTTATCTCTTGGTACAAGATTTTCTATATAAAAATGGTTCAATGAACTGAATAATGCGGTCAAGTTTATCAGATGGTAATCTGCACTGCATACGATGGGTATCTAGAATTACACCCAAATATTATAACTCAGTGGTTGGGCCTTCTGTTTTCTTTAAAGAAATTGGAACCTTCAATCTGGAAAATAGTCGTTAGCAATGCCATAGTTCTTTCACCCACAACATGGGGCTTATCGATTGTTAAGAAATCATCTAATAAATGAAAATAGTGTGAATATCGTAATTATTAGTAGCGATCCAACATATGGCTTGGGAAAGAGTATCAAAATCTTAGAACTAGATCGACTACCAAAAGGCAATCTAACAAAGAAATAATAACAATTTTCCACTTAAAACAAAAATAATGCCACTGAGATGGTTTGACAGGTATCTGTTTGAAGGCATCTGTAACATCTGTCTTACAGAGTATAGTGACAGGCCCAAATTCTATAATCTTAGCAAAAGCATCATCCAAGCGTACGTAGCACAGAGAACAAAGATCTTTAGCAATAAGATTGTTAATACTGTCAACAGAATTCTCTGTATGAGGTGAGGACAAGTCCAAAATCAAGCGTTTTTTGCCAGAATATTTGCCAGTAGCAAGACCAAAATGACTTACTCTAATCTGGGAAAAAGGCAACACAGTTTAAGGTCATTAACATAACTCCTGTCAATTTAGACTTGAATTAGTTCATCAACAATGGCAGGAAAATCACAAGCAGATTTTAAGTTTTTAAATTTAAACTGAATCTGAGCTTCCGAGTCTGTAACAAGAGTGTCTAATCCATAACGGAGTCCATTACAGAGATATTATTATGAAACAAATTCATGATCAGGATGTGTAATGAGCTCAAACTCGAAACAATCAACATCAATAGGAGTAGAAGCAATACAATCACAATAATAACCAGTAACAGGATCTAAAATTCTGTTAACTAATGACCGTTTTTTTCAGAACCGTCATTGCTACCGCCCATCTTTCTCTTGCGAGTGGCACCCTGAGACTGAATGCTAGCAGTTTGTGAACAATTAGAAGCATTATGGGAAGAGCTAAACAATTAGTGCAGCAATGAGCTCTTTTGCACATAGATAAGGATCAGCCCTTGGAATTAAAATTATTGCAAACGAGCTTACCGTCATGATATTTAATAGGTCTAGTGCATTTATCCAGAAACTTTGAGGTATTACTGTTGTTACAAACTTTAGTCAAAACTGAGGGATCCACGGAAGGACACATAGCAGAGGAATGTGAAGTGACTTTGTTCTGAATATATCTGTAGTAAATATTTCTTGTATGATCAGATTATGTCGGACTATTGCTTAGCATGGAGAATTTAATCGTGTTCTGAAGCGGAAATCATTGCTTAGCCAATCAGAAATAGCACGTGCATTACGTCATTTATTAGTCGATCAGCCATCTTAACATATTGTCATTTTCATTCATAGTCATCATCCATCGTTCATATTTAAGTCGTAGTGACCTAACATCACTTTAGGGCAGGAGGAACACCATTTCCAGGTATTATATTGATGAATTAAGCATTTGTACGCATCTATAATGTATCGGTTTATACATAATGTCATTTTCAGTAAGAATGAATTAGAAATTAGCCTCCCGGTCCCGGTGAAGTGAAATAGTCCTGTCCAATATTTTAAGTCTCATATTTATGTCCATGTCCATGTCATATTATTGCTCATTTATTATTAAGGTCTATATTGTGTCAATTTACTATATTTTTAGTCATTATGCTCATATTTTATGTCATATTAGTAGTTTAGACTGTCTCGCTTTAGCATCGTCTGCTATTTTGAGACTGTAAGTCATACAAGCTACTGTGCTATTTTAGTGTCATATCAGTCTGTCAGTGTCTTATTATTTGTCATATATGTCATTTCAGAATATAGAAGTCTGTATACTGTTCACAAAGAAACTATGTTCGCCAACAACTAGGCCTAGTCAATAAAATAAAGTCATAAAGTCATCATTAGTCGTCAAGTCATTTTTCCTTCGTGAACTGTATATGAACAGATATGTCGATAATCTGTTTCATATTACGGAATACCAGTCTGCCACATAATTGATATCGCTAGGGATCAACAACACAGTTCTGGAAATGTTCTCATCAAATGGTTAAAGGTCTTTAAGAACCAATTGAACGTGCTGTTAACTAGAATATCACGTCAAAGATGTCAGGTCAAGGTCAAAGTCAAGATGTTCAAGAACCTACGCCAGTAGAGAATGCACAGATAGATGAGAGCGTGGATGATAAGATTACAGCTCTACGCAGCCAAAGGAAGCAATTACGTGGAAAGCTTACCCGCTCAATCAACCGTGTTCAAACCAATATAAGAAAGGGTGAAACTGACTCTAAAAGATCAAAAAGGGAACTTAAACAAATAGTTCGTGATTATGAACAGTGCTCATTTGCTCATGGTGAAATTTATGAACTAACAGATCCAATTGATCATGGTCGACTTGATCAATGGGAGGCTGAACTGAACAATGATTTCTTTATTATTGACGAAATAATTAATGAACAATTAAAACCCATTGCTGATGATTCATCAACCCCGTCACATGATGGTGAGTCAAGTCAACAATCTCCTAATGGGAAGATACAGTCATCGCCTACCCCTAGTCGAGATCATAAAGTTCCTGTCGAGTCAATTAAGCCCAGTTAGCAGTCTCAGTCACTGTCCCAGTCAGTAGATGAAACATCAGATCACTTGTCAGAATCTGGAAGAGTTGTGTCAGAAATAAAGTCAGATGTCAAAGTCAAAGTAAAACAGTAGATTCCTGGATTGATGAGCTATAATCGAGTTTGAGGAAACAGCTCATAAAGATATCAACGCCAACTTGTCCATATCACAGCTCTTGTATCGCCTTGAGGGGAATAGACATTCCAACTATAACGATAGACCCATTTGATGGTGACCCATTACATTATGTTGAGTTCGTCCAGCGGTTCAAAATACACATTCATGATAAGATTCACTTATTAGATGAAGTTAGGCTCGCCCAGCTGAAGATGCACCTTACTGGAGAAGCCAAGAAGACTTTATCAGGCATTGGTTTGTCAGGAAACATGTATGCTACCGCCTTAAAAACTATCAAAGAACAATTTGGTGAACCAAGTCGTATTGCCAGGTCCTATATTGTCAGACTAACCAAAGGTCCAAGGATCCATGACAGTTCGGTTTGAAGGATTTGTCAATAAATATTATCAACGCCATAGCAAACTTAAAACTCTTGTGCTATTTCAATGACATTAATTCTAGTGACACTTTAAGGCAAATTGTTGAACGTCTACCCAACTATTTGCTCGATAGATGGAAAACAAAAGCTGGTTCTATTAGGGTGAATGGAGAGAAGCCAACTATTCATCATATGAACACTTTTCTACGTGCTGTGGTTAAAGCAGAGTTTGATCCAGACTTTGGAGATATTAAAAGGTCAGGTCCGTCCAAATCGAATGGAGTGCAGTCCAGTCAATTTAGGAAGTCAGTGTACGCCACGTCACGGGAAGATGGTGGTGAATTACCAAGACGTCAAAATGTCAGAAACTGTTCTNTGTGTCACGGAGATCACCAATTATCAGACTGTGATAAGTTTAAAAACTTAGACATTAAATGAAAGCTCGAACATGTCACGTCGCAACATTTGTGTTTCGCATGTCTCACAGGAGGTCATAATATCTTTCGTTGTCGCAGAAAGAAACCATGTGGTATTAATAACTGTCAACGTTCCCATAGTAAACTTTTACATTCAGAGCCTCTGATATCCAGTTCAGCGTTAGACCGTCGATCTATGCTACCTATTGTTAGAGTATCGTTTAAATCAACAAATGGTAGAGTCTTGCGAGGTAATGTTCTTATAGACAGTGGTTCAGGAACGACAACTATCCGCACTGGTTTCTCTAAAGCCTTAGGTCTACAAGGCAGACGAGAACGAAAAGACATTTCTGTTGTGGGTGGTCATCAATTCCCACAGAATTATAGTCGACGAGTCAAGTTCAAGATAGTAGCATTGGATGGTGTAGAAGAGTTTAATATAGAAGCTCATGAACTAGATAAGACTATTGTAGATGTTCCAGATTTAGATAGAGATTGGTTGCAGTCATTTAACCATTTAAGGGGACTTAACTTCAGTCAAACACCTGGTCCGGTTGATCTTATACTTGGAGTCCAATACACCCATCTGCATTTTGATGTGGAAAGACGCCTTGGTCTACCCTATGAACCTTTAGCCAAACGTTCATTACTTGGATGGTACGTAATCGGTCCTGTCAAGTCATCGTCTACTCAGTTGTCAGCAGTCACAATCTGTCATGTCGAAAGAGTCAACTTTGAGAAGTTCTACGAGTTCGAGTCACTTGGTATCAAAGCACTGGATCGTCAATGTCCTAAAGTCCAGATGTCACGTCAGGATAAACAAGCCATAAACGAGGCATTTGAGTCAACGTGTCATATACTTCTTCGATTCCATGAGGAGCCTGTAGGAATTGTTGGAGATATTTCTAAGATGTTCCTGCAAGTTCTCCTACCCGAGCAAGACAGCCAAGTTCATCGCTTCTTATGGAGAAACTTAGATGTCACCAAGAAACCTGATATTTATCGTCTGCTTAGAGTCACCTTTGGAGACAAGTCGTCGCCTGACATGGCAAGCTTCGTCATTAATAGAATAGCTTCTGAACACCAGTCTGCCTTTCCAGAAGCATCAGCCATCCTCCAAAGAGATCGATATATGGATGATTTGATCCACTCATGTCAAAGTCAGTCAGAAGCAGACGAGAGAATAATACAACTCAACAAAATCCTGGAAACTGGAAAGTTTCAAATAAAGGAATGGTATCGTTCGTCGAAATCAACTTCCTCATCCGATGAAGTCAACTTAGATGGTGAAAATGAATTAAAAACGCTTGGTCTAGGATGGAATCCAGATGCCCTAAAATTTACAGTAAAGCCAGTTAATGTCAACGTCTTTACCAAAAGAATCGTCTTGTCTAAAATGTCTACACTATTTGACCCACTAGGTCTTGCTACTCCAGTCACTGTCAAGATGCGCATGGCTATGCAGGAAATATGGAGGAACAAAGAACTAGATTGGGATGATCGTCTGTCAGAAGAAGAGAGTAGGATATGGTCCATATTATTTGATGAAATGTATTGTCTCAACACCTTGTCATATCCGAGATGTCTCAAGCCTAAACAAGCCCATGGTCTACCAGAGATCCATACGTTTTGTGACGCTAGTCGAAGAGCCTACGGTGCTGTTGTCTACATTGTATGGTCTACGTCAAACGGCCGAGAGATCCAGCTCGTCACATCTAAGGTTAGAGTATCACCCTTACGTCAGTCTACTATTCCACGTTTGGAGTTGATGGCAGTCCTTGTCGGAAGTCGTTTAGCCAAAACGGTCTCAGAAGAGTTGAGAGTCAAGCCTAATAAAGTCGTCATATGGTCAGATTCACATGTAGTACTACATTGGATAGGGTCAGAGTCAGTCAACATGAGACCCTTTGTAGGAGTCCGTGTCACGGAAGTTCAATCAACCTGGGATTTATCTAATTTCAATTATGTCCCGACAGAGTTAAACCCAGCAGATGATCTGAGCAGGGGTCTAACGGTTGATAAAATGCCAGAAAGATGGATGTCTGGTCCCGAAGTTCTCAAACGTCCCGAGTCAGAATGGCCAGCACAGCCTACCTCATTGCCAGTCACAGATGAAAGTGAATTAAGGAAAGTCAAGCCTATATTGTCTGTAGTCCAGTCCTTAAGTCCTATAACAGATCCACAGAGATTTTCTAGTTATTCCAGATTGCTGAGAGTAACATCCTATTGTACAAGATTCATCGAAAGGTTAAAGGCAAAGGTACAGTCGAATCATCCGTCAGTAGACGGTCAAGATCTAACTAGCCAGTTAACGTCAGAAGAGATTGACAGATCAGAAGATTATTGGGTCAAGGTAATTCAAAAGTCACTATTGAATTACGAGGAAAACTTTAGAGATTTATGTCCTTATGTCGAAATGGTGTGGTCAGAGTCGGGGGTCGATTACGTCATATCGCCTTATCATATGATCAACGTAATCCAGTCTTACTTCCTAGAGATAGTCATGTCGCAGAATTGGTTATTAGAGAGTATCATCAGAAGTCTGGTCATGCTGGAGCCGAGAGAACTCTTGCAGACGTCAGGCAAACATACTGGATACCCCATGGTCGAAAAGTCGTCAAGAAGGTCGTCAAGTCCTGTGTGGTCTGTCGAAAGCTACGCCAGATACCATGTCAAACTTTAATGGGCGATTTTCCAGCCGAAAGGTTAAGACCTTCATCTCCTCCATTTACTACTACTGGAGTAGATCTATTTGGTCCCTTTATGCTGAAGTATGGTCGCAACAAATCCATAAAGGCATGGGGAGCTATCTTCACTTGTTCAACAACTAGAGCCATACATCTGGAAATTGTCCAGGATTTGTCTACACAATCCTTCTTATTCGCCTTGAGAAGATTTTCAGCACATCATGGATGGCCTAAAACGTTCATCTCGGACAATGGTTCCAATTTCATAGGAGCCCAGAAAGAGCTAGCCAAACTTTTCACAGAGGGACGGAAGCAGCTTGAAGAATTTGTTGTCGTCCATAGAATAGCTTGGAAATTCATAACTCCTTTAAGCCCACATCAAGGAGGATTTTACGAAAGTCTTATTAAACAAGTCAAGAAGAATATACAAGTTGTCATTGGTCATCAGATCCTGTCATAGAATGAAATGTCAACAGTCTTTGTCGAAGTCGAGAGTTTGATAAACAGTCATCCTTTAGGATATTTGTCAGATACACCATATGATCCACAACCAATTACTCCGAACCATTTCCTTCTTGGTCGAGCAACAACTGAAATACCTTCAGGTCCGTTCGAAGAGACAAAGGATTTTTGGAAGAGATATCTTTTTGTGCAGTCCTTAATCAATTTATTTTGGAATAGATTCATACGGGAGTACATCCCAACACTTCAGAGACGTTCAAAATAGTTGACCAAAGGTCGTCAGATGCAAATGGACGATGTAGTACTACTGATTGACAATTCTTGTGCAAGAGCTAAGTGGAATTTAGCCCGAGTTATTGAGGCTTTCCGGGTCCAGATGGTCTTATCCGGAATGTGTTAATAAAAAAATCAACATGGGGAATATAAGCGATCTATTCAGAAGTGTGTGCTCATTTTGGAATCATAGACTTTTCTTTCGTCTCCCCAGGGTTGTTCTGAATATATCTGTAGTTGTAAATATTTCTTGTATGATCAGATTATGTCGGACTATTGCTTAGTATGGAGAATTTAATCGTGTTCTGAAGCGGAAATCATTGCTTAGCCAATCAGAAATAGCACGTGCATTACGTCATTTATTAGTCGATCAGTCATCTTAACATATTGTCATTTTCATTCATAGTCATCATCCATCGTTCATATTTAAGTCGTAGTGACCTAACATCACTTTAGGGCAGGAGGAACACCATTTCCAGGTATTATATTGATGAATTAAGCATTTGTACGCATCTATAATGTATCGGTTTATACATATCATTTTCAGTAAGAATGAATTAGAAATTAGCCTCCCGGTCCCGGTGAAATGCAATAGTCCTGTCCAATATTTTATGTCTCATATTTATGTCCATGTCCATGTCATATTAT